ACATATCTTTTTTATTTCCACAAGTAAAATTTTTGTTGTTGCTTTAAATATTTATTTCAGTTATTTTATTTCAAAATAAAAGAATTACTCATTTTTTTCTTAGAAACAAAGCAAAGTTTTCTAGTTTTCGTTTAAAAAAAGTACTTTTTATATATATATATATATATATATATATATATATATATATATATATATATATATATATATATATATATATATATATATATATATATATATATATATATATATATATATATATATATATATATATATATATATATATATATATCGTAACGTTTGGATTTATGTTATATAAAAAAAATGAAATGTGTTATTTTAACAGTTTATTTCAATAAGTTTTAAGTTGATGAAATTAAGAAAAAAATTAAACGAGTTTTGAAAATGTTGTTTTACAAAAATTATACTTAGTGAAAAAAACAGTTTCGCCTTCTTTGTGAGGCACAACCGCACTCTTACAAAAATCATTTAGGGTACACTTTTCTTGGTACATTTTCTTTACAATTGTCACAGCTCAGATTATTTGCTGATTTTGTTGCACGTTTACATAATGTGTAGACATTCTTTATACTTACAGTTTGAGTTTCTCATTCGATATACTCTTAGCTTTAAATTTTATTCGAAAACTTATTAAGAAAAATTAAATATAAAAAGACAAAATCTAATTTCCGACATCTCAAAGCAAAACTATTTTTCTTCCAGTTTTCACATGAACGCATTTAAGTGTGACGATTGTAATTATTTTTATTGGTAGTTGCCTAACATTGATAAACATCAAATCTATACAATTGTGCCTTCTGTGCGTCTATGGAGTTCTGCCCCAGAGGACAGTTTTTAGAAAGAATATAGTTTTATAGCTTGCTTATTAGGCTATATTGATACCAAAAATAGTTTTCAATTAATGAAATAATGCTGATAACACATATGTTTAATACTAAAATCAAATATTGGTCAGTTCTCAAAAAAGAGGTCTTCAAAAATATGATGTAAATATAATATTTTTATCAAAATAAACATTACTATGCACAACTTCATATATACTTTCTTCAAATATACTTCAATATGAATTTTTGTATGATAAAAGACAAATTACGGAAGAATTTAAAAAATATTTTGTGTCTGTAGGACCAAACCTGGCAAAAAGAATTTCTATAACTTACAGTTAAATGAATGATCTATGTTTCCCTCTAAACTCTTACTTGAGCTCTTTTGAAAATGATCAGATATGTCATTAAAATGACATATCTGATCATTTTCCTATTTTCTTTTCTATAAATATAGATAATAAATTAGTTCCTAATGAAAAACGAGTTTTCAAAAAGCAAATTTTTACAAATGAAAATTTTATATCTTTTAAGGAACAATTATCTCTAATTGATTAGAGCATTATTAACACCTCTGATGATACAAACTTAGTTTATAACTCCTTTTTTAAAACTTTCTATGATATTTACGAAACTAATTTCCCTGAAGTTAATTTAAATCTTAAAGCTAAAAGTATTAAATCGCCTTGGATTACAAAGGGTTTGCAGAAGTCTTCAAAAATTAAACAAAAATTTAACATTAATTACTTAAAATCTAAAACAGATGAAAATAAAATTATATATAAAAATTACGCTAAACTTTTTGAAAGCCTCAAGAAAAAACAAAACAAAAATTATTATTTAAATTTACTAGATATATATAAATTCAATTTAAAATGCACTTGGTTTATAATAAGAAAAATTACTGGCAGCAAAAAATGTGCATTTCACTCTATGCCAAACAAGGTTAAACATAATAATGAATTTTTATATGATAAAAGACAAATTACGGAAAAATTTAATAAACATTTTGTGTCTGTAGGACCAAATCTGGCTTAAAAAATTCCTATAGCTAACAGTTTAATGAATGATCTATGTTTCCCTCTAAACTCTTACTTGAACTCTTTTGAATTATCTTTTAAAGAGTTTGAAAATGCCTTTAAAATGTTAAAATCTAACAAAGCAGTAGGCCTTGATGGTATTAATGGAATCATTATTATAAGTTCATTTGATGTTCTAAAAGATATACTCTTTAAATTTTTTTCAATATCAATTAAACAGGGAATTTTTCCACAAGCTCTAAAATTAGCAAAAGTCATACCAATATTAAAAAATGGTGACAATGAGAATATAAGTAACTATCGTCCTATTTCATTCCTTTCTGTATTCTCTAAGGTTTTTGAAAGAATTTTGTACAATGAAATTTATATTCATCTTACTTTAAACAATTTATTATACAGCAATCAATATTGATTCCAAAAAAACAATTATATTGAACATGCCATTCTGCAGTTTACAAGAAATGTATCTGACTCGTTTGAAAATTCTCAACTTACTTTAGATGTTTTCATTGACTTGGCGAAAGCTTTTGATACTATAGAACAGGAAATTCTTTTTTAAAAGAATTTCGTGATCTATAGTATCAAAATATTGATTAAACTAAATGGATCTTCTAAATATTGATAAAACTAAATGGATCTTCTAAATATTGATATAACTAAATGGATTCTTTTTAATCCTTTTGCTAAAAAGCACCAGTTGCCTAGCAACTCACTTTTTATATTTATCGATAACATAATTATTAATAGAGTTTTAGTGAGAAGATTTTTAGGTGTATATATTGATAAAAATCTTACATGGAAATGCCACATTGCTAAATTGTGCAGTAAAATTTCAAAGAGTATAGGCATATTATACAAAATAAGAAACATTCTTGATAAAAATACCTTAATTCAATTATATTATTCTTTAATTCATTGCCATATCAACTATGCAAGCATTGCTTTGGGTAGCTCTTATAAAAGTAAACTTAAACCTCTCTATCGGCAACAGAAGCAAATAGCACGCCTTATAAATTTTAAGGACCGTTTTGCTCACGCCAAGCCTCATTTATATGATATGAAAGCACTCAATATATATGAGTTGAATGCTTTTAATATTCTTTGTTTTATGTATAAATGCAAGACCCACCTATCACCCGTTTCGTTTCGTAATTTGTATTTAGAAAGAGTTAGAAATTAATATATTCTAAGGAACGATAACTTAATTCTACAACCATTTTCTTAAACTAATTTTGGAAATTTTTTCATTTTATTTCGCGGACCATTTTTATGGAATAGTATAGTTCTAAATTCTTTTAAAGATTTTTCTCAAGAATGTAATTTTGATTCTTTTAAA